AGAAAGAAAGAAATTTCCTTTTACTTTTACTAAAAAAAAAAAAGAAAAATGCGTGCTACAAATAGTATCTTCTATCTTCCCTTCTACTAATTGTCGGTCATATCACAAATCCGTAATCGCAGTCGTTAACCTAACTTATCGAATTGAGCCGAAACAGAAGAGACCTGAAATTCCAACTGAAGCAACAGGTTCGTGGCTGAAAAAATTGTTACTTTTTTTTCAGGTTATTCGAACTTTTCAATGTCCACGCGTGGCGAACGAGAGGCTTTAAAGTTTCGAGAGCGCGCTGTGTTTGCACAATTATCAACAGCTGCGGGTACATCGACGATGTCTGTTATTAGACCTGAATATATCTTGACAAATGTGCGTGAAACAGAATGTTTGATTCTCGCACCGATCGTACGACCTTTCACTCGAGTGGAAAGGATTCTGTGTAATTGTCAATATCAATCTGTTGTATTTCGAAGAAAACGATCGATCGATCGATCCGTGGAAATAGATCGAGACTTTCAAATCTTTTCATCTTTTTTAGCTACACTCTGTGTTCTGCAATCTCGAATTAACTGAGATCGATATTGATGCTAATCTCAATTCGTATCTTACGTTTGAGCGGCTTCGTATCGAAGTATCGTGTATTACGTGTATCGATAATCGTCGATACATTTATCGTGTAACATAAAATAAATATTTCGTTGCGAAGACGTCGAAAGGAAGAAAAAAAATGCTTCACTCTCACGGAGGAATCTAAACATTGGAACAAATATTGTCTTCGTTCTTTTTTTTTTCTCTCTGCCTTACATTTTCCAATTACTTTGATGAAAGGCATTTATTAAACACGTGTCGTATGCGCAGGTATCTTGGATCGATAACAGAATATCGAGATAACGGCCGGTAAAATTGTTTCCAGAACATGAGCGTGCAGTGTGATATAGATGTACCTTCAATTACAGTTCAAACGAAATACGATGTCGTTGTGTTTTTTTTTTTTTTTTTTTTTACTCTGAACTTTTAAACAAGAGACTCCTCGTCCTTTGATAGTTCGGAATGGCCGCAAAAATTTTATTTCTCTCAATCCCGTCACTGATCTATTCCACCAAATATTGAAGTATTCGATTAAAATGGAAGAAAAATTAAAATTGATGAAAATATGCATATCACAAAAATCATGCCTCGAAATGGAATTTATATCATAATAAATCTGTCGCAACGTTGCTGTAAAACAGATTAAAAAACACGTGAAAGATTTGATATCATTTTTGCATGCAAATATATGCAGAACAATTGAGATAACATTCTGAAAAAAAAAGCATCGATTAGTTACATTATCTACGCCGGCCATGCGAGCCGCCCTTTAACACAATAACGCTTTCAAACTAAATCGAAAACTCGTCTCTCCTACCCGCATTCGGCTTTCACATAAGCCACTCGGTATCATCATTACTGTTAGTTTCACATTCCCGGTAAACGCCTGCATGTCCCACTATCTATCCCCTCAGAAAGTCCATTTACCATTCGTAATGGTATATAACCTATAATATGAAAAAATATTCCACAAACATTAACGCACTGCCAAAACGACACGTTTAAATTTGGCGCCAAAGAGTGGTTACAAACTATTAAAAATTATTGCAAACTATGTTACATTGTAGAATATTATTAATCAATTATACATCATGTTATAGAATATTATTAACTATATTTCTATACAAAAACTATATTATGTTAATAGAATAATATATGTATTCTTACAGAAACTATATTATATTATATATGATGTAATATATCTATTCTCATCATTCAGAAAATAGTAACAAGCTCAGATAACTAGCGGTATTTTATTACCAACATTACATTGTTATTGCTAGTATCAGAAATCGTCTGAAGAACATTTAAAAAAAAGTATTGGAAATATTTCCAAACTAGCATTATACACAGACACACACACACGAGGCGAGAGGTAACATGTCGTTAAATAAAATGGACGAATCTTTTCAAAACAAATCGCTCGACAATATATATTCAGCACGTGTAAATTCTGTTCGGAGCAGTGCTACGAATTTGGACGTCATTGAAGAAATAAATGCGAAAATAGAGTTACAGATGGGTTGGCGCGACAAGTGGTTGTCCGGGCTGGTACACCGTCGCGTAAAAACAAATTTGCCACCGAAAGCAGTGGTCAGAGAGGCGCGTGGTTGTAAGTTATCTCCACATGAATCACGAAGGGGATTAGCTCCCTCGCACGCCCAATACGATTGGGTCCCATTCGATGCAATCGAAATGCACCAGATGGAACGGAGCACCGGCTTAACGTGACCGACTTGCGTTCGATGCACGCGCGTGCACGTGCACTCGATTGCAGCTACACTTGCCTCTCGTTGGAATAATAGCATTTGGAAAAGAGAGTACGTAACATACGGAGCGCGCTTACCGAAGGAAAGCTGGAGAACCGCGAGTTTCTGTTGACACGAAGGAGAATCACATCGACGAAACGAGTAAAATTACACAAATTATCTTGAGCGTAACAGTAAGGCCACAGCACTGATCGAACGGTGCCCGCACTGTACCATACGACGCACTGTTAGCAAGGCGCCAATGAACATGCAGAAAATCGAGACGAGCGTGATCGATAGCCAACACCCGTACACCTACGAACGTATTGGGCCACCAATACGGACTGTTCCGCGCTCGCGAAAGCAAGCTCTTCGCCGTAAGCTCGCGACAAGCTTGTTACCAGACACGAATAGAGCCTGACCTTCGATCGGTAAAGTCGACTTTTAAAACGGTATACGCGCGTTCACGTCCTCCGCGTAAATGCGCGACTGATCGCACGTGCTGCCCGACCGAACCTTCGCTGGTCCCCGATTGCTCGACCAATCAACGTGGACCACCTGTTACTAGCGTACTGAACTCTGGTAGCGCGCCGCGCAGCAAACGATGCGCGCGCATCTGTCGCTTTTGCCGCTCGATTGCAACGGTCGGCAGTTTCAAATCGTGTGCTTAAACGCCGTCGGTTCGCGCGCGTCGTGTTTATAATGTTTGATAATAGTGCTTCGCGTGATAATAGAGAGACGTGACTCACAACAAGGTTTACTCGGTGCTGGACATTTGTCTGAAGTTTCGTGTGATATAAGTACATTATATAAATGCGCGAGTGTGTAGTTTGTATGCAGAGACCAATGGATGAAGATTTTTGGAAAATCATCACGGAGATATTTGCGTCCATGGACTGGCGAACAGATACAAAATTGGACTACTTCGGCCCTGTTTGATTGACTGTAAGTTTATTATTGTATTATTGTATCTTTAAGGCTTGATTATCTTTAGATGTTCTATACTTTAAATGTTGCTACACACGTAATGAAAAATTCGACTTAAAAATGTAAATTGGTGTGAGTTTGCATTTCGCATTGCAACCTTGTTTAATGAATTACTAAAACTCAACTTAAAATGTAATTAGCAACTGCAATTCGTATTTAACAATATTCGCATTCACGCCGGTATCCAATTCAAGATGGATACCACTATTGAATATGGCGGGAATTTTCAAAATTCAAAAGTTGCAACGCTCCATTTTTAAAATTATTTTTCAAAATTCAAATTTAAAAGTTGTATGAAATGTTCAGATTAAAAAGTCTAAATTTAAAATATAAATTTTTGTTAATTTAACAATAAATTTATATTTAATTCAGGTTAATGAAAATGATGGTAGTATTTTTCTAAGGATATAGTTATATTTATTAACAAACTTTTTACACATTTAGAATGTAGGATTTGTAATGTATATATATTTCATAATACAAACGATAGTATACATATTTTTCACAGTTTAACACGAATCATGCATAAAATGAAATAAAGTATAAAAATATACATCTCGTTAAATGTTGTACAAAGTTAAAATATGGTTAGGAAAATTTGAATATTTTCAAATGTCTTAAAATAAGAGCAAACGAATGATTGCATTTACAAGATAGAACAGTATTATGTAAGATCTCCTATATCAATAATATTCATAGCTTACATAGTAATCTATATGCCAAAATCATTATACATACGATTTTTTCACTTTCATGCAAATAAAACAATTTTCAATATTTAATGTAGCATAATCTGAAGCGATAAAAAAACAATTCTGAGTGCTTCGATTGTGTTACATTGCTTAATGATAGAACATCTTCGTAATGTTTTCGCAAATAGTCGCAAACAAATCATTACAAACATTGAGATTTCCTTGCAAACAGAATTTATAGAAATTATTGAATTTATACAAATGCTTTACTATAACACGTTAGGTTATATTCGTGTGATAAGTGTTTGCAAAAATAACTCTCTTCACTACGAGGTAGATTTTGAAGCATATTCTTTATTCGAATATTAATATACATCATGCCACTATTGTGCCCATGCCAGTAAAAAAATTATATTCTTACCGATCATAATTTATCTTGTTCTGACCTCTATATTTATACTTCTTATCAGGTACAAGATTGAACAAAATATGATTAATTTTTGTTTTTCAATAAAAAGGACAAACTACCCCCCCATTACAAGTTACACCATTTTCTGCCTCTTTATCTTATTTTTTTATATTTTTTCCTTCGCTTGTTCGCTTCAATTACATGAACGTAAATCTCATTACAAGCATTATAAAACAATAAAACGTCCTTGAACAAAAAGAAATAACAAACACAAACATATTGTGCAAGAAACCCTTACATAGAATGTTAACATATACATCTTCTCTTTCAGTGATATAAAATTATACATATGTAGAATTTAAGGATTTTTTTTCAACAATAGATTGAAAATAAAATGAAAAATAGATTAATTGAATATAACAATATAATTTAATTCATTGCGTGAATATTCGTATATCTGTACATCTGTAATATATATATATATATATAT